CCCGTGCCCTTGGAGCCGCCGCCGCCGCCCCGCCGTCGCCGCTGCCACGCGCCACCCTCGCGGCCGCGGCCGCCGCTACCCCGCCCCGCCGCGCTCCGCCTCACTCTGCCCGCCCCGCCCCGCGGGTCCAAATCGGCCACCTGCTCCTCCGCGGGGCGCGGGCGGGGCTCCCATCAGCGGGAGTCATTATGGCGTTCCCTGCTCAGAAGAGGTCGGCGTTGACCAACGCTTCCGGGAGTCCCTCCCCTTCCGTGGCCGCGCGGGTTTGCGGTGCAGCCTGTGCAGCCATGGTGCAGGCCTCAGGCCCCGCGCCGGGGCACCGCGGCAAGCCCCTCGCCGGGGCCCCGACCGCCCCCGACCGACTGGTCGATAGGGACGGGGAGAGAGCGCCTTCAAGTAGCTCTGCTGCTGCTTTTGCTGCTGATGGCGTCGGTCATCTGATCCGTCGCTGCCGCCGCCGCCGTTGTGACCTGCGGTGGGCTCGTGGTTGACGCGCGTGCACCCGCTCCGGAAACCTCAGAACATACATCTCGCCTCGCGAGGCTCTCTCTCTGGGGCTCGGCTGACGGCAGCCGACACAGTGTGGCAGGCCCCCACCGCCTGCTCCTCCCGCCCTCGCAGAGATGTCAGGGATAACAGGACAAAGCGCTGCTCCTGTCTGGGCAGAGGACGGAAACGATCAAATATGCAGCAGACCCGCGTGAAAAATGCATCGCTGCATCGCCCGGCCTTTTTGCGAGTATACCCGAGGGACGGGATGGAGCGGGGGGGCCACGCGGAAGTCGGGTAGGACAGTAGTGCGCGCTGCATCCTTTCGACAAGAGCGCGCGCGCACACACACACACTCACTCACATTCACACAGCGCTGTGGCCGAGAGACCAGGCCAGACCAGACCAGAGTCGGCCTTGGTGCACGATCCATGCATGCAGGCATGGGGCATGGCCAGTGTCCTAGAGAACTTGATGATGTAGCCAATTTGGGGAAGGAGAAAGGGGGGGGGTGAAGGGAGAAGGGAAATGGTTGGG